AAGAACCTATTTGACTTAGATGCAAGTAATCACTTGTGATCAAGTAGAGGAAATTATTCTGACAGGAAAGCGGCCAATTTTTGGGTAATGGCACAAAAGCCTTTTCCACCACACAATACTTATACTAGTCTTAAGTGGTGAATTCAGCTATCACAATCACAGTTTTGACAAAAGGTGTAGAAATTCAAGTACCGCAATACAGTCTCCATATACAAACAACAGCAGTGCAATGACCTGTACTGCAGAATTTCAAGTGCTTCAAGAACCTATAGCCTATGCAGGCAATTGCTTAGACTTCCCAGGGAAGCTACCAGTGCTCATTCAACCCATATAGATCACAAATTGGAAGTGAGGACATTTAACACTGCATCTACTCTGGAAGCTAAAATCAAATATATCATATTATAAATCAAAAACCAGTCTAGATTTGCCACAATTTGATGTGCCACTCACCTCCAGTGTATGAAGTATACGTATATTATATGTGTGAAGTTTGGATCACACATAGATTTCAACATCTAGCAACTGCTAAACAATAAATAGTAACACTGTAATCTGCATAATTTATTCATCCCTCTATCACCATGCAAAATATCATTATACAAAGATTCCACTTTGTAAAATGCTCATACTCGACAAAAAAGAAAACATGAAAATATTTGTCTGAGCTATTTAAAGCATGCTTTGTTTTTGCAGTACTAGCTATTTAATATTTAAATCACGTTTGCATTTCAGAAACAGTGCTTGTCAAAGGATAAGATTTGCAGATTTTTCAAGAACAATATGAGGAACAAACTCAAACACTCTCAACGAGATGCAGTGAAGTCAAGGGGATTTCTGGAAGCATCTGGTTTATAGTTATTTATATATATATTTATATGAAATATTTCTATGAGATATTATAGACATTATATAGTATATATTATTTATTATTTATTTTTGTAAAACCCCCCTTTTTTTCAAAATTGATGTGTTTGTGCATATAGGCCCAGTTTAATTTATGTGGTTTATTTACATAATTGTTTTTTTTTTCTCCACGTTACTGTAACATTTTTAATGACAGAACACTTCAAAAAGTTTTAACATATAGAAATAATCGTTTTATTATAGTTCTGCCCCCATTATTATTGTTCTAAATAAACAATATAAAAAATGTAAAAATTATTTTTAAGTTGTAAATTAAACAAAGATTAATGAAGTACACTGGCATACATTGGAGTAAATTTAGTAGTATTTTTTCAGTAAATCTTATTCCATATTTTTTCAGTATATACAGTAATTTATGTAAATGTATGATTATTATTTGAGCATTCTTTTAAACAAAAAAGAGACCACTCTTCATGTTGCAGTGGTTCTATGTATGTTTTTACATTTTTTTATACTAGCGGGCCTGTTTTAATGACCTCACCCAGTTCTCCAGAAACCCACAGACAGGCCCTGAGTGCTACTGTCACTGGATGTCATTTTCCCAATAGGTCACCTTTCTTGCCTGCTAGAACTGCTCCGGTCAACAGCAAATGCTATTATCGTGAAGTAAATTGTTTAGAAGAAACAATAGCACACAGCAACACACACTAATAGAAAGGGACAGGTAAGTGCTGAAGCGTTCTGAGAAACGAATAGGAAACAACAGGAAGTACCAGGAAGAACCAGTTTGTAAGACCAAAATGCAGGTGCCTACATGCTGTGGTGTTTCTTTCTTTCTTTCTTTCACCAGACTCCAAAACACCCTGGTGTGAGCAGCCTGAGTGACTTCCATTTACTGCTCATATCAGTAAATGGACCATTTCTTTTTTTTAAGAAATTTCGCACAGCAAGTTAAATAGTCTTCCAATCAGCTTTTTAGAAAAAGATGTCTGTGCTCTCACTGATGCGGTGGGCTTCTGAGTGTCCCCGCGATGAGAGGCCAAATGGGACATTAAAATTGCTTGACTGACCATTAGTTCATGAGGGATATGAGGTAAAAGGACCCTCAATAGTGTAGGTGTGACTAAATGTCACATTTGTGACATAAATCTCTCTCCTTTCCGTAAATCCCACATTCATTCATGCATGTTCCAATTTAGCTTTCATTTAAATAACAAAAAGTTGTACCAGCATGTTCATATTCCCATCACTTGTGTAAACAAGTTAATTCAGTAAGTAATTTCTCCTTAAAGGAAAGTCATATGGTCCTTTTTGATTTGCTTCTAAAAGTGACAGACGCAGTCTAATTAATTAAAGATGTCGCTCCTGCTGCTCAAGAGACTAAACGTTGGAGGACACTTTTCATGGCTGACATCACAGGCAATAGCTTCCTTTTTTATCTTACTTTCCCATGGGAGACATACTTCCACTGTTCTTTCATTTCCTTTTTTTTCAGCTTACTTCCCTTTTCTCATCACCTCTCTGAGCAAATACAATAAGTGTCCACGTGACAGCAAATGGCGGTGGAGAGAACAGGTGGGAATGTTCAAAATGAAAGAAGAGATAATATTGAGACACACACATTGCGATCACTCCACATATGTGACCCTGGACCACAAAACCAGTCTTAAGTCGCTGGGGTATATTTGTAGCAATAGGCAAAAAAAACATTGTATGGGTCAAAATAATCGATTTTTCTTTTATGCCAAAAATCCATGAAGATGCCGTTTTATGCCATGAAGATATTTTGTAAATTTCCTACCGTAAATATATCAAAACTTAATTTTTGATTAGTAATATACATTGCTAAGAACATCATTTGGACAACTTTAAAGGCGGTTTTCTCAGTATTTAGATTTTTTTGTACCGTCAGATTCCAGAGTTTCAAATAGTTGTATCTCGACCAAATATCGTCCTATCCTAACAAACCATACATCAATGGAAAGCTTATTTATTCATCTTTCAGATGCTGTATAAATCTCAATTTCAAAAAATTGACCCTTATAACTGGTTTTGTGGTCCAGGGTCACATGTGAGCTGGTATCCGCTAGCCACAGGACCCCTAATCAGCCCTGACTGAATCGAAGGCTTCTTGGAAATGAAATGTTGGTACAAATATGTCTCCAATCATTTTTGAGTACCTCAAATTTTACAAAATTGAAAACTGACTGGTCCATACCTGTAGAATTGCAACTGCATTATCAATAATTCAGGCAAATGAAAATTGAAGGATGCCACAGACATGGATAAAAACACATGGATAAAAATAGTTCTGTACCAAAACTGGCATGGGGGAAAAAAGCAAAGGCAGAGTTCCTACAGCTATTACAGGGCCTGGGCTGAGACATTTTACTTTTTTTTTTATGTCAAAAAGTTTTGCATTTTTGCAAAACTACTTAAATGCATACATGCCCTTTTACTGAAAATGCCGATTTTAATGCACTAAAATTGTCTGAGAATGTTCTGAGAATCCAGTTAAGGTTAAAAATGATTAATGTATTTTTAGATGCATGTACCTTTTTCTGTCTCAGATTAAAGTGACAAATAGCATACTACCCAAGCTGCTTCTCAATACTCAGTTGATTCTTGGATGCATCACTTAAACGCACCACGTGGAGGCCATGAATGAGGAGAATTGATGCATCCAGAGGATCTAATCAGCTGCATCCTATGCGGAAGTCTTTTTTGACGAAATACCTGACGCACGCACATTCCCTTCCCCTTCATGTCACAACACTTTCGTTTGACCTTATCGTTTTAAATAAACTCCATTTCTACTAGTGCGTCATGCTTTATTAAGAATGTATTAGGAATTTTAAGATTCTTTACTAAGAGATTTTGAAGAGGATCATTCTTAAAATAATAAATATTTTAATAATATTATTATTTGCAACTTCCCTTTGAACGAATGCTTGAGTGAGCAACCTGTAGGAAAACAGTCATTTTTGCGTTTGCTTTTAATGATGCTTGTAGTGAAGAAATAACACAGTTCGTATTTAAATATAACTATCCAAAACCCACAATGATTCATTTGAGTGAATCTGACAATTATTTAGCTTATTTGGGTCTCCTAAAGAGATCTCAATAGGCAGGTGACTCTTTTATTTAGCGATTTTTCTAATTTGTCAGTAGTATAAAATGTCTCAAAAACATTTTCTTAGTAGATTATATTTGTTTGTGAACATTTGAATAAATATTAGACTCATGCTACATTATAAGCATAAATAAGCAAAAGTGCTGCGTTTTTTTATTTACCCCATTCAAACACATTTTATTTTAGTTTATCTATCAATAATATATATATATATATATATATATATATATATATATATATATATATATATATATATATATATATATATATA